GGCAACAGCTGTGGTGAATTCTGGCTGTGGGCACCTGGAGTCTCAAGGAGGGCATGTGTGTGTGGCTCTGTGAAGAGCATTCTGTTAAGTCAGATAAATTCCTAGATAGTAATTACTGGTCTCATGGAGTATCCTAGACCTTTCACTTTCTTTGCCTCTTTTTTTAATTATTCACCTGTCCTTTTTTTCTGATAAGGATGAGCCAAAAGATATAAATAAGTTGAAAACTGTTCTTTTTTAAACAGCTGTAATACCAAAATATAATGCAGGGAGAAGCAAACTGAGTCACCAAGAGAAGTGACCACTAAAATTTGGCATTTTTGTTCATGGAGTTCTCCTAAGACAGAAAACACTGGTCTCAGGTTTTTCAGTGTGAAACAAAAGAATGTTAAAATTGTGTGCGTGCTTGTTGGTTGGTTGTGTTTGTGTATACATTATCTCTTTGTGGATGCTTTTCTGTGTTTGTGATGCACATATGGAGGTATGTGTGTTGGGGGCCAGGCATAGTTGTTCATATTAAGATAAAATTTCTAAATGTATTTTGTTAGTGACTAGACTGCTTAAAAGATATCTTTATTTAACCCTGAGTAAGGACTGTTTATCCCAAGTGTCCTGTCCATTAGCATAGCAGCAGAGCACTTGATCCTACCTAAGCCCTGTTCTTGCCAGTACACAATCTGCAAAGCAAGTGGAATTGGAGTGGACTAACATCTTCTGCCCCAACTTCCACTCACAATAAAATTTATGCAGCCAATTAATGAATGATCTGCTCAACCCAGCCAACTAATTAAATAAACTGAAAACACTTTGCCTATAAAGTAATGACGATGCTCCTACGATAATGAGAGAATGGTATTTTTCATCATTCCAGTCAAACATGTTTAATCCTGCACAAGGTGTCACCCATACAATTAAAATGATGCAGGGAATCAAATGGTGAGGGTGGGGGCACCAAGGAGGGGACTCTGAATCCAAAGGCAAATTTTGAAAGCATTCAATAAGATCTGGATCTCAGCTGCTGGGACACTGGTCACACTGAAGCCCAGTCCCTCTGTATGTCCATGTTCCTGAGGGCAGAGTGCCGAGGGACAACACAGGCAGGAGGAAACTGCCTTGCACCCACTTAGTGCTCTGGGGTTATTGCTGCCTCCGGTAGGTGAAGAGGCAGAAATGAGGCAATCAACTTACCTTCTTTTAGCAACTCCATGAAAAGGAAAATGGATACATTTAATAATCATTCATGCAAGTCTGCCATGTATTTTGAGTTGTTATGAAATATATGACAATAAGTTGATAACAAATATATTTCATATTTATTAAAATAGGTGTATAATACAAAGCACAAGAAAACAACAAAACTGACTTCTTGAGGCTGACCCAAGATAACACACTGTTTCTCGGTGTTCTGAGGATCAGTGCTGTGTTCAAGAGTGCCCTCCCCTCAACCTGAAAAAATGCTTATGCCTAGGATGAAAATAAACCACATGTTAAAATACCATGATTGCAGAATTAGTAGAACAAATCTGAAATACACATTTAAAAATACTTAAATTCTCATTTAGCATGCATGAAGTGATTTACAGACATTCATAACTGCATCTAATATAAGAGAGTTTGCATACAATATAGTTCAAGCTTAAGCCAAATATGCAAAAAGAACCTTAGCTCAGTGTAACAGAGGACAAAATCTGCTGAAAGAAAATAGTTGCCACCATACAGATAAAAAGAACAATTCAGGAAAAGAATTCTAGAGTTTCTTCCTAAAATAGATGGGCATTAACTCTAAGAACAAACCGAAACACAATTTATTTCTTATAAAAGCAGTTCAGTTAATGTTAGTTCCTGGAATCTGGAATGGAATAAGCTATTTGTTGTTATACAAGTGGGGAATTTTGATTATCATCCTTTTATTTTAATTGACTCCACGAACCACACAGATTTCAGCAGTGGGTTTTGCAGCCAGATAGAAACAGAGGTTTTCAGGGCTCATATCTCAAATTACAAAACTGAACCTATTGTTTAAAATGATGGAAATATGTAGAGCCATTACATGAATTGTAGCTGCTAGAATGAAATGTTTTCCTGTTTTCCTGATCTAGACAATGGAGAAGCTCGGAAGAAAAACAATACTAAAAGGCTTTCCTATATTTGTTTTTAAAACCTGCATTATTTTGAAATTAGTACATTTTTGTCAAATCTCATCTCTCCTGTCTTAGTTTTCACAAAAATATTTATAGAAAAGAAAATTGGAATAAAAGTAACTAATGATTAAATCCACATTCTTCAAAGGTTGCTCTCTGCTAAGAGTCAATTGCAATATGCTGTAACAATTGCTTATGATTAGGACATGAAAGAGAATAGCAGTAAACACATGTGTGTTTAAGAGAAAAGAGATTCATTTTCTACTCAGTTCCTCCTTGATGATGTACATGAGCATATATTACATGCTTAACTTTTTATTCTACTAGTTTGCCTAATTATGGGAACATGTGAGGAGGAGCCTTTGCCAAGGGCTGTTAGGCTACCACTGAAAAACACTTAGGGCTAGAGATGTCTTGGCAAAGCCTGGCAGTGACTGTGCACCAGAGTCCTCCTATCTTCAATCCATAAACTGCTTAATTCACCCACTTAATTCTTTGGGGGAAAACACCATGTGGATGCGTAGTATCACGATGTCATCACTATAATGATCAAGCTGCCCTTGATGCCTGTTTGTACCTCGAGGCCATGCCTTTCCACAGTGGTAGGTTATTGTACAAAAGGTGCTCACCAAGTTTACCACTCCCTAGACATTTTTGGATAGTGGCCCCACCCTTGATGTTCTCCATGCCTCAGATTTCCTAGGGAGAATTGCCTCCTGCATCAGACCACTCCAAATAATAAGGAAGAAGAGAGCAATGGTTGTCTCTAAAACTGAGAAATGGGCCAAGTGGGCAGCATGCTTACAGGTGCCCTCCCCTTTAAATTATCTGCCTTGGGAGGTGAAGGGTAGGAATAAGTGAGTTTGTCCCAAACATGATTTCCAAAAGCTCCCTACAATGATTGAACTATGAAAAATACTATTTGGACAAAAGTGTCCATTACTTTTGAGACTGTAATCGAGTAGAACCTTCTCACTGTCCCCACTGACTCACTTGTTCTGCTGCTCAGCAGGTCAGGGACAGCACAGCACCTAGTCTGTCCCTACCCAGGGTTATGGTTGGAGGGGTCTGCATATGGCAGAGCTACCTCTCCACATGCTCATTTCCACCCATTCCTCTGGCTTTGTCACAGCCAAGCTACCTGGGGCCCCTGTGAATAAATGGGCAGTTTGCCAATGGCCACATAGCTGAGAGGCACTTATTCATCCCTTGTTATGGCCCCGAACTCCCTAATACAAGGGTTTGAATGTCTCAGAGAGAATTATAGCAGTATTGAATGGGAGAAAAAAAGCATCTGCTCGAAGCCAGTGATTTCATCAGATAATCTGCCTGAGGTCATCCAGGTAAAGGATCTTGGCCACAGGTGGGCAGTGGCATGAGATCGGAAGAACTCACTGGCTTTTGGAGGGCCAACTCTGCTGGAGCAGATTTTGAGAAGCTGCTATTTATCAAGCCAGTTATTCCCTTGTTGGTTCCACAGTGGGGATCTGTGTGGTCTCTCTGGTATAGGGGGTTAAGCGGCCTATTGCTTCCACAGAAAAATTTAAACACAGACCAGAAAATGAGGCAGTGCTATAGAAGAATCAAACACTGTGAAACAGCTTTAATAACCTCAGCCAATTTGAGACCCACAGGATCACAGAGGACTTAGGCAAAGCCAAAAGTAGAAATGTCTCCATTATAAAAAAGTGAAAAGAAAACTGTAAAGGTCTAAGGGTGAAACTGTTGAATTTGCATTTCTTTCATGTAAGTACAGATACTGGTCAGCAACACTTCTGGCCAAATATTTAAAATCACCTGAATGGCCAAACAGTTGGTTCCCATACAACAGACTGCCAAGGGTCCATCCTATGGCCAATGGACACAGCTTTTGTGTTCTTAAGTATTAAACACCACTTATTCCAAGTGAAAACTGACTTTAAAAAGCAGAAGTTCCAAACCCCAGAGCCTTCATCTTTCCTTTTACACTCCCCTGCAGTTTTCCATTTTCTTAAAAAAAATAAACTGTAGCATCTACATTTCAAAACTGGCCAAAAAATAATGCACTTAACTCTGAAGACTGGCTGTGTACCTGCCATTACTCACACCCACAGTGTTGAACTCTGGGACAGTGGCATTTCTAAGGCAAAACTAGAAACAATAGGGCGCAGGTGGCAAACACAAGGCCCGTGGACTGAATTCAGCCCTCCACCTTATTTTATCCCCCTCCCCTGCACCTTGTTTCTACTTGGTGGCAGCACCTAGCTCTCACTTAACTGTTAAGGAGTGATTACATTTATACTGTCCTAAAATTATATTCAGCCCTTTCAAGGCAATCATGAGGCTGATGTGGCCCCCAGTGAAAATGAGTTTGACACGCCGACAATAGGGTATCCACTTTCTGAGATACAGTTTGGGGTCTCTGGAAGGAAAAACATTATTTTTGTCTGCAAGGTGGCAAGAGAAAGTCACCACGCCATCGGAGGTCTTGCAATATCACTCTGGCAGTTCTAACAATTTTGACCATACTGCCTCCTTTCTGTCTACACATGCAGAACCTCACATTACTGACCACATCATGAGGGGAAACCTTTGCAAGCGAGCCCTTAAAAATGAAGATATAAATAAAAGTTGTTTTGAGCAATTTTTGTAGTTGTGAAAGATTTTGGTTATTCTCTTTCTCTTTCTTTTTCAGTTTTTAAATTTTTTAATTTAATTATTTTTCAAGTACAGTTTTCTGCCTTTTACTCCCTTCCCAGCCCACCCCCGATGCTCTTTCTTTTTAAAAAAATGTTATTCAAGTAGAGTTGTCTCCATTTTTCCCCACCACTCCCCCCAACCCCAGCCATCTCCACCTCCCATCCTTTATCCTACCCTCTTTTGGCTTTGTCCATGTGTCCTTAATACATGTTCCTTCACAACCTTTCCCCCTTCTCCCATTATCCCCTCCCATCTTCTCTCTGGTTACTGTCAGTTTGTTATTAATTTCAATGTCTCTGGTTATTTTTTTGTTTGCTTGTTTGTTTTGTTAATTAGGTTCCACTCATAGGTGAGATCATATAGTATTTATCTTTCACCACCTGGCTTATTTCACTTAGCATAATGCTCTCCAGTTCCATCCATTCTCTGGTAAAGGGCAGGAGCTCCTCTCTTTCTGCTGTGTAGTATTCCATTGTGTACATGTACCACAGTTTTTTGATCCATTCATTTACTGATGGGCACTTAGGTTGCTTCCAAAACTTGGCTATTATAAATGGTGCTGCTATGAACACTGGAGTGCATAGTTTCTTTTGAATTAGTGTTTTGGGATTATTAGGGTATAGTCCTAACAGTGGAATGTCTGGGTCAAAAGGCAGTTCCATTTTTAGTTTTGTGAGGAAATGCCATGCTGTTTTTTACAGTGGCTGCGCCAGTCTGCATTCCTACAAACAGTGTACTAGGGTTCCCTTTTATTCTACAAACTTTGTTTTTTGTTTACTTGGTTATGACGGCCATTCTGACAACTGTGAAGCAATATCTCATTGTGGTTTTCATTTGCATCTCTCCGATGGCTAGTGATGCTGAGCATCTTTTCATATGTCTTTGGACCCTCTGTAAATTGTAAATTCAACTCAATCTCTATTAAAATAACAATGACATATTTCATAGAGAACAGACATTTCAAAAAATTATTATGGAACATAATTAATTTGTTTATTAACATTTAAAAAAATATTATGGAACAATAAACAACCCCAAATAGCTGAGAAAGAACAAAATAGGAGGGATCACCATACCTGACATCAAACTATATTAACAAGGCCACAGTAATAAAAATAGTCTGGTACTGGCATAAGAATAGACACCTAGATCATTGGAACAAAATAGGGAGCCCAAAACTAAACCTGAGTCTCTATGGTCAATTAATATTTGATAAATGGTGCAGCAGCATAAAATGGAGTGAAAATAGCCTCTTCAGCAAATGGTGTTGGGAGATCTGGACGGCTACATGCAAAAAAAAAAATGAAACTTGACCACCAACTTATACAGTACACAAAAATGAACTCAAGATGGATAAAAGACTTCAATATAAGTCAGGACACATAAAAGTCCTAGAGGAGAACATAGACAGGAAAATCTCAGATATTCCATGTAGCAATATTTTCACTGATATATTTCCTACAGCAAGGGACATAATGGAAAGAATAAACAAATGGAATCTCATCAAAATAAGAAAAAAAACTTCTGCACAGCTAAAGAAAACATCAGCAAATTGAAAAGGGAACCAATGGTATGGGAAAATATATTTGCTCTTGACACCTCAGACAAGGGTTTGATCTCCAAAATATATAAAGAACTCACAGGACTCCACTCCAGGAAGACAAACAAACCAATTAAAAAATGGACAAAGGATCTGAAAAGATACTTCTCTCTCTTTCTCTTTTCAATCCCACTCCACCCATCTTTACAGGGAAAAGAGACAAAGAAGGCATAAGTTTCTGCAGAAGCAATGGGACAATCATCTGGCCTGACTCGTCTCTGAATTTCTTGTGTGCTATAGTCACAAATCAGAATCAAGTTGTCAAGATGCAATGTTAACTATGAACTGCACTAAAAAGCTTTATGATGACAGTTTTCAGGACTCAGCAAGTCATTTCACTCACACAACCTTTAGAAGCAATCATAATGAGAGACATTCTGTTATACCCTCCCTTTATAGCCAAATCACCCAGATCAAGAGCTGCCTGAGGTAAAGGCAGGGCAGCCTGCTGAGATGGTGATGTTCAGGCTTAGAGAAAAGTTATCTTTGGCTTTTTCCTTATGAGTGTTTATCTCATCAGTATTTAAGCCTGCGTTAGCATCAGAACAATTACATGAATTTAGATTCAAGTATTTGTGGGGGGAAAAAAACCCTGGCCTCTTTCTTCAGCACTTAAGATTATTTCTTTTCAAAATTATTTTAACTCTCTTCATATAACTTTTAACACATTTTTTCAGGCTTCACTGGCAAATAAACCCAATAAAATTATAAACCTAAAAATGGGAAATGCGATTTCCAAAGTCCCTGCCTCCTTGTTAACTAGGCAATTAAGTATAAATGTAAATGCAAAGATATGGTCTCAGTTCTCAATATGTTTCCTCTTAAAAAAACTTTTTATATAATTAAACAGTAATTGACTTAGTCTCCATTATACTAAAGGGAACAAATTATATCAGTCCTAATTAACATTATTGGACCCCTTTTCTTTTTACATAAATCCAGTGATCAGAAAAGTAGCTCAAGGGAAACCCATTAGCACCTGACTTATAGTTCAGAATCAGTGCAAAAAATGAAAGTAGTCATATTTGAATTTGAAAAAGAAGAATGAGTACAAATTGTTAATATTCAAAAATTTCCAAAAAGACACCATGATTTATCTATTCCACTTCAGGAATATCATACACATTTAGAATATACCTGTATATTCCAGTTTGCCAGGCTTTTATAGAGAAAGTTTACAATTGTTTTCTCAGATTCCAATCCAGCCTTTCAGAAGGTTGCAGGTTCTCCCTTTTGAGAAGGGCTCTAAGCTCTGAGGATGGTGGCAGCAGACTGACAGTGTCTTTGGGACCACCTCATCTTCAACAGTCTGTTCCAGCTGTTGGGCTATAGAAAACAGAAGATGACAGCATTGGGAGCTGCTGCACCTTGCCAAGCATGTCTATATCCTGAGGAAGGCCCATGTGCACCCCAGCTATAAATAGGGCAACTGTTCTTAGAGATCTCCAGCATGCCTCTAGGTTGGCAGCAGGGTTAGGTTTATCATCTGACATGGACAGCAGCTACCCCTGCCTTCTGCCTGTTTGTGTGGGAGTCTTTGCCCACCCACCTCTCTATGTTTGCCCCCTCCTGCCCCAGGGCAACCCCAGTCTCCTTTACCTGTACTGGTTTTCCATAGCTCTCCTTTCAGCTTGCTCTGGAATCCAGGAGTAGCTATCTGCTGCACTCTGGGGCTTTTTCTCCTTTGCCTCCCTCTTGGCTCTCCGCTTGCAGTAGACCAGGAGCCCTAGGGCCAAAGCCAGCAACAGTAGGATGGCCACCACAGTGCCCAGGATATAGAACAAAAGTAGCTTTTGCCTGTCGGTGCCATCATCTCTTTGTTGGACCATGAAATTCCCTCCTGTAGACTCCTCAAGGCCAGTGGTGACCGTAGGGTGGTGGTTGCTTGGCTCCCTCCAGATGCCAGAGGACCCATTGATAGCTGGAGTTTGGAGTGACATTGGAGTGATGGGGGTATTGGGTGTGAGGAAGGGTCTTCTCATGGTAGGTGCCACATTGGATGTATCCTCAAGGTGCTCGCTTGGACTTGATGTTGTGATAGAAAGCACAAGTCTTCCCTCTCTATCTCCTGTCTTCTGCCCATGGGAAGGCTCCACAGATGGTCCCAGGGATGTGGGACTGGTGATACAGGAGATCCCATCAGGGGCCAGCTCCCTGTCTGGTAAACATCCACAGCGGAAGGACCCTAGAATGTTGAAGCATAGGCTGTCACATATACTGCCTTCTGGGCCCTCACATTCATCCACATCCTGGCATTGGGTTCCATCCTTCCCTGTCAAGACATAGCCATCCTTACAGGAGCAGTAGAAGGAACCATCTGTGTTGGTGCAGCCATGGGCACAGGGTGAGTGGCCAGGAGCACACTCATCCACATCCTGACAGGCTCCCTTTTCAGGGCTTCCAGGCTCATAACCTACCCAGCACTCACAGTGGAAGCCCCCAGGAGTGTTAATACACTCCTGTGTGCAGGGGGAGTCCTGGCACTCATCCATGTCTACACAGTTCCGCTGAGTCGAGTCCAACTGGTAGCCTTGGGGGCAGAGACATGTGTAGTTTTTCTCAGAAGGTCCAGGGATGCATGTGGCCAACCCTTTGCATGGGCTGGAGCTACAAGGGTTCCGAGAGGTACAGGTCACCAGGTCATCCAGCAGCCGGAACCCCGGATGGCAGCCACAGCGGAAGGAGCCATCCCCCCCTTCGAAGCAGTCTTGATGGCAGCCTCCATTATTAAAGTTGCAGCCAAACTCAGGGCTGACACAGAGGGGTCCTGAGCTGTCCCAGTCAAATACATCAGTGGTCTTCTCATTGCATAGGAAGAAATGCTGCCTCCTCTTATCCCCATCCCCACAGACCACATGAGCCACAGAGGCAAAGGGCACAGCCTCCAAGGAGGAGGTGGTAGCCTGGAAGGGAGTAGTATAGTTCACCTGTCCTGGGCCCCCTAGAGACAGGGGCTGGCACATGCCTTTGAAGCTAAACTTGCACACAAAGCCCTCAATGCGGATTCCAGGAGAGCCTGGGCTCCCACAGGGGCCCTCAGACCACTTGAGGAGGTGGCTGGCAAGAGACAAGTGGGACAGGTCCACCATCAGAGACACACAGCGCTTGGAGATGCAAGAGCTCTTGACCTCCTTGTGCCAGTTGGAATAAGATGTTTCCTCTCCACCACCCACCCAACTGAAACCCTTCAGAGGCAGGCTAGGGTCCAAGCACTTCCTCTTCTCCCGCTGGAGTCCTATCCAAAACTTGCCTTTCTGGGTTTCCAGGGGCACCCCGGGCTCTAGGAGCTGGGCTAGCGCTCTTTGAATGTGCCAGGCCTCCTTCTCAGACCTCACCGTGGCCAGGTTGCCCCCATTCTTGCTGCAGTGAACCTGGGCCTCAGCGGCACTCAGCTTGCCCCAGTGGGCTGAATAGCAGGCAGTTCCCGAACATACCACAGCCTGTTCCTCAGCACCAGCCCCCATCCAAGGCGGGCTCAGGAGCAGCAGCAGCAGTAGCAGCAGCAGTAGGTTGGTGGAGGTGGCCATCACAGCCTCCGTGTTGCCCTCAGCCAGAGGCTAGAAACCTGAGAGTGACAGCAGCTGCCACAACTGAGTTCAGAGGGGAGTGGAGGGTTCAGACACTGACACTCTGGCACAGAGCACGCAAAGGCTGTGGGCTTTTCAAGTCTCCCTGACCCAAGGCGCATCCTGTGCTGTTGTATTTCTTATTTCTCACCGGATACTGGGACTTCCTGCAGTGAATAGTTTTCTGACTCCTGTTGCCTTCATCATGGTTTTGTTGTTCACAAAAGGAGCCGCAGCTTTGCTGGGTCACTGGCTAAGCACTGGGAAAATGTGGCCACATTGGGGGAAAACTGTTACAGCTCTGGAATACTAGCTGCTTTATTTCAGTTCCATTCTCTCCCATCTGTACAAGGAGCTTAAATAGCATGCTACATATTGAGTATGGACTTTTGTGGGCCAAGAACTTGAAAAAGCTCACTGAATAACCTATAATAAAATTTCATTTTAGTTTGCAAACAACCAGAAAGGGGAAAAATCCTCAGACTTGAGACATGAGGCCATGGATGGTTATAATTTTCCAGCTTTGTTAGAATCAAACTGGGTTTTTTTGTCTACTCATGTTCCATTTAGTTTTGTAAGTCTTTTTTCTCTTTTATTCCCTGTATCATGAACTTTAAATAGAGAGGCAGTTTTTAAATAGAAACTGGGTTGTGGGAACGTCTGAGCATCTCTAATACAATTCCAAGCTGCTTGAAAACATTAAACCAAATTGGGTGAAATTTAGCAGTTTTCAGGGTTTCACAGTGTAATTATTATGTTGTGAGGAGGTGGTACACAAAAAGTACCACAAAGAAAAAATAAAAATGTTCCTGACCTCCTAGCACTGGCTTGACACCTGCCTTCCCTACTCAGGTTTCCCAGAAAGGGTCAGAGCCCTGAGCCTGGAAGGATGACCCAAGCCTTACTCCTGCTGCCTTCATCACAGTTTCGTTGTCCTGAAAAGGAGCCAGGCAGCTTTGCTGGCCACCTTCCACATATTAACTTATCAAAGACTCTGAATGACAAGGGTTCTTTTCCAGAATCACAGACATGGTTTGCCAATTTATTGAGGCTGTCTTTGATTTTGGTACCCATAAATTAACCCTGAGATAAGAATTTGAGGCAATTAGTTTATTTGGAAGATGTAAGACAGAAAAAGGCGGAGCCAATACAGGGTGACTGAAAGAGCAAGTGACACTGAGGCTGCTGGGCCATTATTCCCTGGGACACTCTAAGAGATGATATGGGCCACGTGGCAGAGTGTTGCCACCTAAGGGGAAGGGGCTGGGACAGTTCTCCAGCTCTTCTCACTGGTGGCAGTAGCTCCTTGTTTCTCTGGGTTGACAGTGAGAACCCAGTACACCAAAGGGAACACTCAGGTGGAGAAGCACAGGGGAGTGCCACAGTTCTGTGGATGTAGCACCAGCATCTACCATATCAGCTCTCTATGTAGATTTGAGTTAAGATTTCATGGGGTTTATAAACTCATTGGCTTTCAGCCTCCCAAGTTCATAAATAAGGTGTCCATCTCAGATTTCAGGTGGAGATCTTTCAGAGGTGTTTCTTATTTCCTACTTATTTTAATAAAGTATTTCAGATTATCCAGGGACCTTCTCTCAGAACCCGTAAGATCTTTCCTGTGCTCCATGGTTTCTATGGAGATCCACCCATTATCTATTTATCCAGCTATCCATCCATCTGCCCATCAATATCCACCCACCCACCCTCTGCCCACCAACACACCCATCCATCCATTCATCCACCCACCCAAAGTTAATTAAGCCTTTACTATGTACTGGGTTTAGCACTGAGATTCTGGGGAGGGAATCCTGCTTTCATGACCCTAAAGTCAGAGTGGACAGATTTGAATACATTGAACAGCTGTAACTGTGACAAGTACCACAGGGAGAAGTTCAGGATGTTAGGAGATGAATTGAACTGGTTGGGGGTGGGCAGGGTATAAGGCAGGCTTCTCTGAGGAAGAATGGCAATGAAGCCATAATCTAGGGAGCTTACAGATACAGATACAGATACAGATAGCAGCTTTGTATCTTTGTAAGATACAAAGAGCTTACATGGCTCCACTCTAAGAAGACATCTAACCCAATTAATAAATGGGAAAAGGACTTGAATATCTAAAAGGGAAAATGATGTCAGCAGTGGAGGAACATCACATGCCAAGGCTCTGCAGTAGGAAGGTCACGACCTTCACAGGTCGGGAGTAAAGGAAGTGCAGTGAGATTGATCCTAAGAATAAGATGAAAGGTCTGGGAAGGTGGACCCTTGTGAGTCTAAACAGTGAAAACTTAAGGCTACTTAAATCTATGGGGAATCACTGAGGGGCTGACGTGCTGAGATGAGCATGTAAAAGAGTGTCTCTTACCAAGGAGAAGGGAGCAGGCTAATAGACCCTGAGCATCGTTAGGACCACTCAGAAGCTGACTGAAATTTTCCAGGCATAGAAGATGGTAAGTTGGACTGAGCTAGGCACCTGGATTAGGGACATCATATTCAGGGTTAGTTCAGGCCATTCTTGGTGCTGCATGGAATGGTGTTGGAGAGCATGGAAGGCACATAGGAGGACTTCATGGCTTCCCTCTTGTGCCACCAGAGTTCATGGTCCTTGAAAGCTCTGTCAACTAGAGGTAAAGAAAGGGGGTCTGAGCTGGAGAGCAGAGGAGGCTACCTCTGGGGACTGAGAGTCTCCCAGACTTCTGTCATCATAACTTGTTTCCTCAGGACTCTAAATTTGTTCCCAGACCTGGGAAAGTAACCAGATTCAAGGGGACCTTGGAAGGCTGGTGTTCTTAGGCCACCATAACAGGGCATGCATTTAGGCTTAGTAAAGGTAGTATGGATCTCTGCCTGAAAGAAACTGCATCTCTAAAGGTTTATTTATGGGAAGGTGACTATATTAAAGGTTTATTTATTAAAAGTGGCTTCTTAACATTCTATAAAATCAATATGATGATGTTCACCTTGAAATGCAACACAGCTGGGCATATTCTCATAGCAGAAAAACTTTCTTCTGGTTTAGATCCATGTCTGTGAAACCCAGAGCTAGATTCCTGTTAAGTGTTGTGATCCTGCAGGATTCAACAAGCCTGCTGCTTGGTTGATGCTTAAGGACAGCATGTTAGTCACTTGGACCCCCAGATCTTTTTCAGGATCTTCTTTTGCTGGCAGTTCTTCATCTTCCACATGAGAATTTTCTAATCAACTACTCTTTACTTATCCAAGTGTTAAAGTCTTAAAGAAGAAAACAAGCTAGCAAGGACACATGTGCAGCATATTTATTCATTAATCCAGGAAGTATCTGTGAAGCACTTACTGTGAAAAAGGCCATGTAAAGTGCAGGAACTGCCCTGCCCTGGGAGTTGGCTGAAACCTTCATTCAGCTTTTCCATTAGATAGCTCTAGTAGTGCTTAGTGGTCTTTAACTTCATTTGAAACAACCTTATTAGATTGTATTGTGACAGCTATCATATCAGCATATATTTTTAAAAGACTTATCAAAATTGGTGGGGCTTTGTATAGCCATTTTAATATTGAAGATGGAAGAAAATAAGAAATATTTCTTGCATATTATTTTAAGGTAAAAACACAACTGAAATGCAAAAAAAAAGATTTGTACAGTGTATGAAGAAAGTGCTGTGACTAATTGAACATGTCAAAAGTGGTTTGATAAATTTCATGCTGGAGATTTCTTGCAGGATGCTCCACAGTCACATAGACCAGTTGAAGTTTATGGCAATCAAATCGAGGCATTAATTGAGAACAATCAATATTACACCACATGGAGGATAGCTGACATACTCAAAATATCAAAATCAAGTGTTAAAAATCATTTGCACCAGCTTGGTTATTTTAATTGCTTTGATGTTTGGATCCACATAAGTGAAAAAAACCTTGACCATATTTCCGCATGTGATTCTCTACTCAAACATAATGAAAACATTCCGTTTTTAAAACAAATTGTGGTGGATGATGAAAAGTGGATACTTTACAACAATATATAGTGGAAAAGATTTTAGGGCAAGCAAAATGAACCACCACCAACCACACTGAAGGCCAGTATTCATCCAAAGAAAATGATGTTTTGGATATGGTGGGATGGAAAGGGAGTCCTCTAATATGATTCCTTCCAGAAAACCAAGTGATTAATTCCAACAAGTGCTGCTCCCAATTAGACCAACTGAAAACAGCACTCAGTGACAAGCATCCTGAGTTAGTCAACAGAAAAGGAATAATCTTCTATCAGGATAACACAAGACTTCATGTTTTTTTGATGACCAAGCAAAAACTCTTACAGCTTCCTTGGGAAGTTCTAATTCATCTGCTGTATTCACCAGACATTGCATCTTTGGGTTTCCATTTATTTCAGTCTTTACAAAATTCTCTTAATGGAAAAAATTACAATTCCCTGGATGACTGCAAAAGGCACCTAGAACAGTTCTTTACTCAAAAAGATAAAAAGCTTTGGGAAGATGAAATTATGAAGTTACCTAAAAGATAGCAAAAGGTAGTGGAATTAAATGGTAAATATGTTGTTCAAATATTGATGATAACAAACATGTGTCTTTTATTTTTTACTTAAAAATTGAACAAACTTTTTGGCCAACCCAATACTTCATCATTCTCAGTAACCTGGTTTACTCAGCCTTGGCTCTCACTGTAAATAAGGAGATGGGAACTGGGCTCCTTAATGCCTTTCTTGCTATAGCATCAATAATAGTAAGCTCATGTTTTTTTATTTCATCGTTTGTATTTGAGGAGGAAGCAAAATGAAGAGATAGTAGGAACTGAGTCTACTGCCAAGCCTTCATAAGATGATACAAAGAAGCAAAAATCCTGTCTAAACTGCACAGGTGCAATTTTCCCTATACTGACCCATTAAGAATTGAAATATAGACTTCCGCCAAGATGGAGACGTAGGTGGAGGAACCACCTTGCCTCTGTGCACAACCAAATCTAAGAACAACTATTTTTAACAACAATCACAACCAAGCCACACGGAAAATCGACAATACGGAGTCCAAAGACAACTAAATGCTCAGCTAAACCAGTAAGAGAAGCGAAACCAG